TAGATTTGTTAGACCGCCTTGATGATGTTTTTTTAGATTTTGAAGATTTTGTCTTGTTAACTATGGTCATTGTTCATATCTGTAACAGAAGCAGAAGTTCTGGTTGACAGAAGAACGTCAAGAAGCATTCCAGAAAGAAAAGGAGAAATCCTGTCACTTAGTCTCAAAGAAATAACTTGAAGAACTAAATAGCCAATAAGAACAATTTAAAAAACAAAACAAAACAAACACACAAAAAACCCAACCAACCAACCAAAACCACCAAACTAAAACCCCAAATCTAAACACACAAAGCCGAATTTTCCATCAAAACTTTATCAATATTACTTTTAACTTCTGCAGAGCTCGCAAATGATGACATTTCTTACACTTTCATGGGATTCTAATCCATTACAGTTATGAAGTTTTTTTTTTAAAAGGAGCTGTGAGCAGTGGCACATTCAACTGCTGGCCTGTAGAGATCCAGGAGGAGCTGCTTGGCCTATCTTTTCACTCCTGGGAACCACGCACCTCTGAGACACAGAGGATGGGATATAACTCTGAGAAATCTTGGGAAAGGAGAGCAAAGAAACATTTGTAAATTTATTTCTGCCTGGGTTTCTTCTGCTTCTCCAAGAAATATTTGTTTGAATACAACTTTGGCAGCCATACTTGTGGTATTTCACACCTATCTCATTTACAACTCTTACTATCAACTGAAAAGTTGAACCAAAAAGGATCTTTTTCAGTTTTACTTATGTAAAGTTGTGCATTTTCCCCTGGCAAAACAGAGGAACGTAAGCTATAAAAGGGAAATGCTGAATGTAAAAGCAAGCAAAACAAACCCTTGGCCCTCAAGGACAAAGGTAATAACTGATAATAAGTCCTGTTTAAAATGCTGATTATCTTTAAATATGTGTAATTGTGTGTGCATAGTAAAGCGCTGAATACCTACATCATCAATTAACAAGTTCTATATTTAAATTTTTGCTACTATCTTGCTATAGCATGTAGGGCCTTTTTAAGTTTAGGGAAACTATAAACTTAACTGAGGGTTTAAGCGTGAGTTGCTTTGTTATACTGAAGTAACTGAGAGAACAAAGCATAAAGCAGTTTCAGATTTATGGCACAACTTGATTGCAACTGATAAAACTTAAGGTAGAATAAACAAAGCACAGTAAATTAGAGAACTTCCAGTCCCACAAAAGACAAATTATGTGCAAAGCCTTTAATTAGATCTTTCTCCCTTTAAATTTTCATTTTAAACTCCACTCTATACCCATTTTCCATTTCTGAGAAGATAATACACAAAACTGGAAAATTCCCTCTCATTTTACTGTGAAATGAAGACATCCTTGTCTATTTGGAAGACTAAAATGACAGTTCTCGGGCTCAGTGACTTTCAGATCAGATCCAGTTTTCAAACTGCAGATACCAGTGCCATCTCCTTTTTTCTGATGGGAAGTGTTTCAACAGCATATTTAAAATGTATTTACGGGACAAAACCACAGAATCAGAACTGCAGTGAAAGGCAAACAGAAGAACACTATCACAAAAAAGCTTGAGCGTTATATTGACCAACGAGGTAAGCCTTACGTATTTTTTAATTTGACAACTGAGTGATACATTACTAGATATCAAGCACTATACAATAGCAAATATCAACGCAAGTAAGAATAAACCAGATCCACCACTTTTTCAAAATATGTCAATATAATTCTTAATTTGGACATATGTCTTTGACAAAGAGCACAAAAACTGTAAACACCGGTATTTTTTCCTCTCCCCTTCTTCAACCTACATACAGGTTCCGTTCCTATACCACTGCTGAACATAAATGTACATCATAATGCGTACTGTTACTTCCCTGTGTGGATGTCACAGTAAAACTTTTCCCAGTATGAGACTGAAAAGCAAAACAGCTAAAAACCAGTTACTTTCCTCCCATCTGGAGTTTTGCATCAGCCTTGTTTAGGTTTTTTTAGTAGTCTCATTACGAAACACATCAGTTATGACTTGGATCTAAATATTTATATTTGGTCTCTGCTTTGCATACAATCAATCACAGCTCAGGAAGATTTTACACAAGATCCCATTCACAAAACTGCGTTTAACCAGGGAGTAGCGATTACCTCATTACAAAACAAACATTTTCAGCAGCGACTGTAAAAAACCCAAACCAATAAAACCCCATACACACACAAAGCCACCTAGGTAGAAATAAGGAGCAACAGAAAACTATTACAGCATAGGTATGAAAACCGGGCACGCTTGCGTCTCCAAATTACAAACTACACTTCCACACCGCAAATTGACTGAAAGCAAAAAAAATAAATAAATAAATAAAAGGAAAAGGAAATGAAGAAACACCCCAAACATACGCACGCTAGTTTTGCTCTCATTAAAAAATAATCCAGCCACCCAGCCAGGAGACGCGAAATTAATGAATTAATGCTCACTTTACCCTTAATTGGAAGCCAATTACGTACGTGGGGTACCGAGTAACTTCCAGCTCTCCTTGCCCCGGTGTCCCGAGGCCAGCAGAGCTCCTGGGAGCCGCC